AATTCATCCTTAAAATTTTTTAAAAATTTGACAAAAAAATTGTTGCCCGGATACTTTTGGCAGGTTGGTGTATATACTCTTTCTTGTTCTCTGCATATATCTCTGCAATTTTAAGAGGAGGCAAATTTGAAGTTGAACCTGAAGGTAACATACCGATCTAGTTATAAGGGATATATTTTTTAATGTTATTTTTGTAGAGTAAAAATTTTAGATTATTATTTAGAAAGATTGTTAAAGGAAAATCATAAGGCAATTAGTAAGGTAGCACGATTTCATAATTACTTAAGAAAGGGAAAGTATTGTTTAGGAAATCAGGTGCAGTTGTATAATAGCAAATCAAAAATATTTTTAGTAGATAAATTTGCTTGCTAAACAGATTAAGAGATAGGATAGAAAATTATATCACTGTTTATATTAATTTTTTTAATATAGGATTGTTATATTATAGATAAAGTCTTGTTATATTATAATTTAGAAAATTAACAAAAGAACAAATTGATATTTTATTATTATTATTATTTAAAAGATTTTTGATATTATATAATTTGTAATACTTATTATATATTATATAATTAAATTGTTTTATAGACAAGTCAAGTATTTTTTTACAATATATAATGAAATAAGTATTGAGAAAAATTCATTATCATTGATCAAAATTAATAATAATCTTACAAATTTGAAAAGTGAATTGATTACTACATTCAATATTTTATATTGGTACTGAAATTAAAATATCTATAAAATTATTTAACTGAACTGATAATTAATATTAATATTAGATAATTCAATCTCACTTTCTTTAAAATTAATAGAATCAAAATTAACATTTTGTCCTTCAAATTTAAAATTAACATTTTGTTCTTCAAATTCAAAATTAGAAATACTACCAGAAGCATTATCAGAAAAGGTTTCATCATTACCATTATCTGTTAAATTGATTCTATTATCATTATTATTATCTGTTAAATTGATTCCATCATCATAATCATCTGTTAAATTAATTCCATTATCATTATCATCAGAAAATAAAATATTAGAAGATAAAATAATGTTTTTTTGAATTAATGAATTGTGTTTTATTAGAAAATTATATAAAATAAAATTTGTTATTTCCATTTCTAAATTATCATCAAGGAAACAAACTATATTATCTATATTATCATTGAAGGAATAAACAATTTATTATTTAAATTATTACTATCATTAAAGAAACAAATTTTATTATCCAAATTAAACTATTACTGGAAAAAGAGAAACAAACAATTTCATCTAAATTACTATCAGAAAAACAAATAATTTTATTCAAATTTTTTTTTTTGTATTTGAACCAACCCTTGCTCGTATTACATGAGTCATACGAGCCCATTTTTAGTCACTAATGACATGGGAGTACTTTCTCATATCATAAACACTCACTGGA